CTACCATTATATAATCCAATCTCGAGTAAATCTCGTGTGCATTAGAGAAGAAGGTATAGTCTCTTTCCTTTCCATGCGTTATTCTCCATATATCCACTAGTTGACCCTCATGTATCTCCTTCTTTAAGGTCCTCATAGACCTACCTCCCTCTCGTTGCACACGAGAAGTTGTATCCATCTGTGGATCTAAACATAAATTCAAATCTCCCGCCACTATCAGTCTTCCCTTTTTAAAATTCCATCAATTTTCTTAATATCCCTTTCAGGTATACCTCTGGTCTCTTTTTTTGGGCAATAAATATTCGCTATTGTACACTCTATTTCCTGCAATCTACCTTTCAAAAACAAGAATCTCCCCTCAGGATCCGTCTCTCTCTCCTCCACCTCCCACCTTACATTTTTAGCAAACCCAATTGCCACCCCTTTTAGCTCTCTTAATTGGGGAGTCTGCATAGAACCATGTTGGATAATTTCTGGTATTTAATTTAATATTTGACTTAATCTCAAAATGCGTCTCCTGTAAAAAAAAACTACCAAAGCTTCTCTATGTTGCAACTCCTTAAATAGCTTAAATCTCTTCCCAGGACTATTCAACCCCTTTACATTATATGTTATAAATTTTATATCTTCCATATTTCTTGTATACATCTCCTCCCTATGCAGAGTATTTTTAAAACCTTCCCCCTATACCATCCTTCTCCCCCTCCCCCGCCATAACCCCCCTTTCCCCTCCCCTCTCCCCAACATCCTCCTCCCCCCTCCCCTCTCGGCAACCCTTTCAACCCTCCCCCCCCCCCCCCCCCCCCCCCCCCCCTCCCCCACCAGGCCTATTTTTTGCCATCTGATCCTTTGTGAGCCTAATGTCACGTTTGGATCTTAACCCTGAGGTAGAACTCTAACCTTGTACGGTTCACCTTCCCTCCATTTCCCTCAATGTTCCCCTTTCCATCCCTTCTCTATTCTTTCTTCTAACTTGCTGCCATTCCTCTTTTCCCTCAGCATTTATCCCTCCTTCTTCCTTTCCTCTTCCTCCCAACCTGGAATCTCTACTCTTTGAATGTTAAGTTTATCAAAAAAGTCTCTCAATTCCTCAGGAAATCTCAGGTATGCAGTAACTCCATTCTTCCATCCGATTAGACACATTGAGCCACTCCATCTATATTGTATATTCTGCTTTTTTTTCATCTGTTCTATTAGTGGTCTCAATGATCTCTTTCTCCATAATGTCTCAGGTGTCAAGTCTGCAAAAATTTGTATATTTTTTCCTTCGTACTCAATATTATATCTTCCTTTGATCTTCTTCCATATTTCATCTCTCTCTCCATTTTTATTAAATTGTACCACTACATCTCTCGGTCTCTCTTCCACCCGATCTCGTTGGACCCTTCCTAATCTATATATATTGTCTAATAGGAATGTCTCTGTTCTGGATCTACCCATAATGGAGTTTAAAATTTTATGTATTGTCTCTCTTAAATCTTTATCTTGTGCAAGCTCCGGGATTCCTTTTATCCTGAGGTTATTATTTTTCCTATGCATGTTACCTTGTATCTCCAACTTATATCCCAATTTTTTCTGTTCTTGCCTAATCTCCATTATCTGATTTCTCAGTTCAGGAATAACTTGAGCATGTTTTTTGATTTTTTCTTCTGTTTCTTCTACTCTAGTCAAGAGATGTCCCAGGTCTTTCCGAAAAATTCCCATTTCCTGTTTAAATGATTTTTCCAGATTTCTAAACATTTCTGCCATCTCCTTTTTATTTGGAATTTGTAGTTCTCCTTCATTTTCTTTTAGTTCTATTTCCCCTGTTATTTGTTGGTTATTATTATCCATTTCCACAGGAGATCTGGCGCTTTTATCCATACTGTTTTCCATTATACTTTTTTCACCTGCCCCCTGAGTTCTTTCTGGGGTCACATTACCTTGGGATGTAAATTTTCTAATTGTTCCAGATTGGGCGTGCTTTGGACCACTCCCTTTACTATTTTTGCTCTTCATATTTTCTATATATATCCAAGCTCTCTTCTTTTAAACTTTAGGGTATATGCTGACAATGAGTCCTTTAGATGGATTCTAATTTCTTCAACCTACTTGGTGGTCCCCCCTTTTTCTCTATATATACTTCTCCTGCTGCATCAAGGTACTGTCCATGAACAAATTTACTATACAATCCAGACACTCTCACTCACCCTCCTTCCAGCTGCTTTACTCCAGTGAGGCTGTCCTTTAGGATCTCAGTACTCTGGTGTGGCTCTGCTTCTTTTCTCTTCGATTGGAGGAGGGGGGGGGGGGTTTCTCCGGGTACCTTTCTTCCTTCTCTGTCCGCTTCACTCCTGGGTAACCGGCAGTCGGGAGTATTTCTCTATTAAACCGGCTCCAACTCCATAGGAGGCCAGCCGCTTTTTTCTCTCCTTCCTCTCCTGCTAAGCAGGATCGCTGAGCCGGGTCCACCTGCACTGTCGGTGAGAGAGCCGGCGTCTCCTCCTGAGTCGGGAAGCCGGCCGGCCTCTCTGTCTCCCAGAGCTCCCTTTCGGGAGGTCACGTGACCGCCTCGCGTCACCTGCGTTCCCAGCAGTCTCGGGCGGGAGGTTCCCAGCCGTCCCGCTGTCCTGGACTCCTGCAGCTCCGTCCTCACCGCTTCGCCCTGGGACCCCCTCTCACCCGTAAGTTTTAGCCGGGCACCTTTGCAGCATTACATGGGGAACATTTAGGGAAGGAGGGCGGTCGTCCTGTGGAGAGCGTTCACATTGCCCTCTCTCTTGCCGCCATGATTAGGCTCCTCCCTCAAAATCTGGTGCAGTTGTGCCTTTTATTTTCTATTCTATTCTGTTTTACTCTATTCTATTCTTTTGTATTCTATTCCTTTGTATTCTATTTTTATTTTCTATTCATTTATGTTGTGTTACTCTATTATTTTATATTCTAATATTTTATATCTATCCTATTCTTTTGTATTCTAGTCTTTTCCTTTATTTTCTATTCTATTTTATTCTATTTTTTATTTTTCTATTCTATTCTGTTCTGTTTTACTCTTACTCTTTATTCTTTTATTTTCTATTCTTTCTATTCTATTTTTTCCATTCTAATCTTTTCTATTCTGTTTTATTCTATTCTTTTCTATTTTATTCTATTCTTTTATTTTCAATTCTGTTTTACTCTTTTCTATGCTATTCTTATATTTTCTATTTTTTTCTTTTCTATCCTATTCTTTTCTGTTTTATTATATTCTGTTCTATTCTTTTCATAATTTGAATTTCATAAGACGGCTATATTCTATTTTATTCTATTTTTTTCTGTTCTATTCTTTTCTATTATATTCCTCTATTTTCTATTCTATTCATTTATATTCTACTCTATTCTGTTTATCCTTTTCTTTTTAAAATTCATATTTTAAAAGATGTCTATTCTAACACTAATACACACAGTCTTTGAAGGAAATCAATATTCAGCAATCTGTTTGTACTTAGAATTTTTTTTTGGAATTCAATTCTGTTTTTAACCTGTCATCTGTAACCCATAGCGGAATTTTCCCTTTTGCATTTTTGGGAGGTGTCTATTGTCTTGCGGGAGAAACCAGCATATACATTATGTGTTCTTGTGTTCTGCAAGCGCACACAATTGCATGCTCCCAGCACTGAGACTGAGCTATTGGCAACTGCTCTGGGTCTCATACTAACGATTGTGAACTGGCCTGCCTGCCTCATTTTTTTGGATGGAAAATACCCAGCACCATCCAGTTCTTTCCACCTATGCCTTACTGTCTCTGGCCACCCCTTACATTCATTAGATCTTCATTTTTTAAATCATGGTGACTCAGCATCACCTGTGGGTATTACCTAGGGTGGTCTGCATGCAAATGTAAAATTTCTGTGCAGACGTTTCCAGACTGAAAACCACCAATCAAGGCATTCTGATGCCATTCCACTGCTTGCATCAGAGCTGGGGGCTCTTGAGAGTACTAGGGTACTGTGAGCAGAGCCAGAACAAGGGCTGGGCAAGAGGGGCGGTTGCTCTAGGCACGGTTGGGGATTTGGAGGGTTGTGCTAGAAGGGGTGATTTGGAGGGAAATTTGTACTAAGAAGAGGAATTTGGAGGGAGGGGAGGATTTGTGCTAGGAGGGGACATTGGGGGCTGAATTAGTGTTAGGAGAGGGGATTTGGAAGGAGGAGAGGGTTTATGCATAGAGTGGAAATTTGAGGGGTAGAGGAATTGTGCTAAGAGCGGAGATTGGGGGAGTGGATTTTTGCTGGGAGGGGGATTTGTCATGGAAGAGGGTTCATTTTTTATTTAGGGAGAATTGTGACTTGAAAGTAGAATTTTTTCTTGGGGGTAAGTGTGAAGATTAGTGCTTGAATGTTTTTGTGTGCGTGTGTGTGTGTGGGGGGGGGGGTGATTTTTGCTGACACACAACGCCCATACATTTGGAGGGGTCACCGTTAAGCATCTTTGGCCTGTGCACTAGATTACTTTGTCCTGGCGCTGACTGTGTTGCAAGGTACTGTGATGTTTTCAGGAAGCCATATACATCACCCTGCCAGCCTCTCCTCACCAGCCTGGATCTGGCTGTATTGCATAGAGAAGCACAAAGATCCTTTGATGATGTTTCTAGGTCTAAAATAATATATGTACTGAAAATGTAAATGTAAAATACCATTAGCATGTTGATGGGGGTGAGAGGGGGAACCAGGGAGGGCAGAGTATTAGCAGACCAAACTTCTTTACACTGGGTTCAAATATGTGTGGGGCTGGTTTCAGTGCAGTTTGTTAATAGAGTCCGGTGTGGTTTCATTCAGCGGTTAAGGTGCACATTTTTAAAGTGTATGGTACTTGAACTTGCACCTGAACCAGACTGAAATTCATACATGACTATTTTTTAAATTGCACTGCTGCCGACCCGCACATATGTGAAACGACTCCATAGAAAGGTGATTTGCACATATGTGGGTCTACCAACGCATCATAAAAAACCCTTTCAAGCATAACATGGCTTGCCTCTGTTCTTACTTTTCTGTCTGGATTTTCCACCAGCTGCTGTAGAGCAGTCCCATCACTAGTACTTTGCAAAGCAGAAGGCTGCTTCCAAGAATGAGCAGCATCAAAGGGAGTTGATTGTCAGACTGTAACCTGTAAAATATGAAACACATATAATGACTTACTTATTTAAAATGCATTTAGTAATCTAACTCAACTCACTTTTTGAGCTCTGTCCCCATGCAGGAGTAATGCACATGGCACTTGAGAATATGTGCATTGCAGTGTTTCATTCATTTTTCAAATATTCAGTGAGTCAATAGAACCCTACAGTACACAGATGTGAGTACTCTGTTGCTTGCAGTACACTGCAATTTCAAAAATAGTGCATGTAAATTTTGTTTGTGCTTTAAGGGTTAACAACACAATTTATGCATTCCTAATGTGTTTCTGCGTGTGCATTCCTAATGTGTTTCTGCTTGTGCATTCCTAATGTGTTTCTGCGTGTGCATTCCTAATGTGTTTCTGTGTGTGCATTCCTAATGTGTTTCTGCGTGTGCATTCCTAATGTGTTTCTGCATGTGCATTTCTAATGTGTTTCTGCATGTGCATTTCTAATGTGTTTCTGTGTGTGCATTCCTAATGTGTTTCTGCGTGTGCATTCCTAATGTGTTTCTGCATGTGCATTTCTAATGTGTTTCTGTGTGTGCATTCCTAATGTGTTTCTGCGTGTGCATTCCTAATGTGTTTCTGCGTGTGCATTCCTAATGTGTTTCTGCGTGTGCATTCCTAATGTGTTTCTGCATGTGCATTCCTAATGTGTTTCTGCATGTGCATTCCTAATGTGTTTGTGCGTGTGCATTCCTAATGTGTTTCTTCGTGTGCATTTCTAATGTGTTTCTGCGTGTGCATTTCTAATGTGTTTCTGCGTGTGCATTTCTAATGTGTTTCTGTGTGTGCATTCTTAATGTGTTTCTGCGTGTGCATTCTTAATGTATTTGTGCATGTGCATTTCTGATTTGTTTTTGATGTGTCTGGTACATTTTTTTTCCTTCTTTTTTTCTTTATTTCAGGTCAGAACATGTGTGCTCTGATGCGTTCCAGTGTGTTTTTGATGTGTTTTGCCATGTTCCATTGCATGTTCTAATTTTGTTGACTGCACTGGAACGCACTGCACTGGTGTGGACTAGAGTCATTGGAATACATAGAAAACACTGTGCGTGCACTTTTGATACAGATTAAAAATGCACCGGACTGCATCTGAGGTGAACCAGCCCTAACAGCCTACATGCAGTAAAGCATGCTTGTTATACTCACTGTGGAACCTAAGGGGTTAATCCTCTGCATTGTGTAAAAATGATGTTTGACCCTGACTCCTCTGATCCTTCCCTTCTTCCAGAGCCCCCCTCTTATCTCCTGATATATCATGTACGTATCGTGTGGAGACACTCTGCACATGCTCAGTTTGGTGTGTATTGCTAGAGAGGTTTTTTTTTTCTTGGGAGAGTGCATGTGATCAGCACAGGGCCAATCAGCACTGTCCAGACAGAGGTCAGGGGTTCTACATCTTCCTAGAGAAAACTCTGTCTACAAGCTTTAACCAGTGCTCTGCCGAACACTGATAGAAGTCACAAGACTGCTGATGAGAAAAGGTATTTAGCAGTTTATATTTACTAAAATAATTGCATTTCCATGTTCTGTGTACTGTGGGAGACCAGATATAGTGAATGTAGGGTGCTAGATTTAGTAACACTTTAATTCAACAGTGTTCAATACATGAAAGCAAATAGTTTTCCCAAAATGAGATTTCATTTCACTTCCTATTCTGTCTGTCATTTGGAAAGGAAGTCAGGAAAAATCTCCCTAATTGAGAGTGCACACAGAAAAAAAACCTGTTGGAGGTCCTAAACCTTCCTTACTCACAGAAAAAAAAGTGTTTTATTTGCTGTGTCCCCATTGGGGGTATTTCCTGAAATTTCCTATTCTGTATGACACCCAATAAAAAGAAATCTTCCACAAAAATAAAGATATCAAGAAAAAATGCCAGTTGTTATAAAACAAAAATGCTGAACCTGGTCTTTAAAGTGTATTTAAAGTTAAAACTTTTTAATAGATAATTTTGTATAGAATGTGGAAAGGTCTTTTCTACTACTTTTCCTGGTGATCTTTATCACCAGTACAGTAAGTGATGGGAAATTCAAAATTTGTAGTTGCCATAGGAACAAGAGATGAGGGGAATACTTTCAATAGGTAAATCTGTTCTGGTGACAACTGAGAAGGGATTTTCCTGCTGTGTCTGTGGGACAGGAAGAAATCTCCCCAATGAAGGATAAGTTCAACATTTAGACAAAAATAATAGGTGCAGGTAAAAAAAATGTGTATTGATTATTTTTGTCTGCAGGAGCCTGGAAAGCATTGCACCAGCGATCAGTAGATCTCCTGCAGACTAACTCAGAAACTGGGAAAGTTCCATTTAGAATTTCTGGACATGCTGATCTTTACATGGCATGTGAGCATTTTTGACATACAGGAGGCAAGGAAACTATGATGACTACAGTGGAAGTCAAGAAATCATAGAGCTCATGCACTGAAGGAAACCAATATGAGGAAAGACTTAAGATAAATTGGGCAGAGCATGATCAGTACAATAAAAGTGCAGGAAAAAATAATGTTGCAGAAAATGTTACTAGGTGGCTACTATAATAGAATATTTGTCAGCTACAGCCTACAACCAGGGGCGGACTGACCATTTGGAAACTCGGGCATTGCCTGAGGGCCCGTAGTCAGTAGGGGGCCCCATGAGATGCCCCTGGTACCTTTTTCATAGGCTTTTTTGAGTTTGGGCAAGGACACAGGGGTCCCATGATCACCTATTGCCCAGGGGCCCCATGAGTTGTCAGTCCGCCCCTGCCTACAACTCTCACTAACCAGTGCCTATTGAGTAAATAGATGTGGTGGCTGCATTGTTTTAGTTTTTTTTCCTTTATTTTCACCTGGCAATTCTGTGAATAACCTAATTTCTGTCCCCGTGTGTCTCCACTCACTCATTGTATCTATGGAAGATGTAATGCAGGCTTAATTTCAAACATGTCTGCCTTTATTCATCTCTATTACATGGTGGATTGATGGGAGAGGTAACATTGTCTATATTGTCTTTTCAGCTCACAGAAAGTGACAAGGACACCACATTTTTGGTAAGATTAACAGGTATTGGTAAAAATGTTCTTAGCCCCCAAAAAGAGGAAACTAATGCAACCATTGCTACCACATCTAAGGGCTGGTAATTGGCAATATAATACATTGATGGTTTGTGGTTTCAATACACTTTAAGCACTTTAGAACCACTAGTTAGCCCTTAAAAGCCTTATTCCCTGTATATGTGAATTTGCTATCTATGAATTAAACTTTTTTTTAATTTTAATTTCTTATTTTAACTTTAAATTTTTTATTTTGTGTCATATAAATGCACAAAATAAAAAAAAAGTTATTACATTTGTAAAGAACTTCAGAATGCTTTGTATCAGAATAATCAGAATCATAATTTGTGTTTTCATAAATGGATATATTATAGAATAAGATGTAATAAGCTCCAAGCAGCAGGGCCCTCCTATCCCTCTTGTATTGAACTGTATTGTTGCTGTATTGTCTCCCGTTATATTGTAAAGCTCTGAGCAAACTGTTGGTGCTATATAAATCCTGTATAATAATAATAATAATACTTTTCATTTACAGTACTGCTGGTTGTTTTAAAATAAACAGTGGTTAAAAAAAGCTTTTTTTTTTAGCTTTATGTCTCTTTTCTATTGATTGCACAGAAAATAGAAAATACCATAGTGGTTCATATAGTGAACTCGGTGAAGAGCTATTCACCCTGAGGTCATCACAGAGGACAAGGGGGCACTCTTTACATCTGGAGGAAAAGAGATTTAATCTCCAAACATGGAAAGGTTCCTTCACAGTGAGAGCTGTGAGAACGTGGCATAGACTCCCTCAAGAGTTGGTTCTGGCCAGCTCAGTGGATTGCTTCAAAAAAGGCCTGAATTGTTTCTTAGATACACAGAATATAACTGGATATTAACATTTATAGGTAAAGTTGATCCAGGGAATATCTGATTGCCTGTCGGGGGATCAGGAAATAATTTTTTCCCTGCAGGAGAAAATTGGATTATGCTTTGCTGGGTTTTTTTGCCTTTCTCTGGATCAACTGTGGGTATAGGATTATAACTTTTTTTCTTGTTCAAATATTTTATTGTTTTCAAAGGCAGGGAAATACAGGTTTAGGACAATCCATATGTGTATATAGATACAAATGAAAACAGGCAGAAATGTTGTCCTATTGAAGTGGGGGGTATACATGTGAAAACGCGTTTTTTTGTTTGTTTTTTTTTTAAATGGTTGAACTGGATGGACTTTTTGTCTTTTTTCATCCAGACTAACTATGTAATTATGTAAGTAAAAACAATTTGCAGGACGCTATCATAAAATAATACATTGTTTCGAAAAAAAACATGATATATGTTTTACTTTATTATCTTTTATTATCAGTAAAAATTATTGCAGAAACTCCCTTCCCCTCCTTTTCCCTTTTCCCCTTCTTCTCTTCTCCACTCTTTTCTTTTTACGCTCCAGTTCACGCCCTGAGATCTTTTTACTAACTTTTATTTGATGGGTATGGGCCATCGATATTGTATTATGTATGTTTCTCCTGACCTGACTCAGGATGACCTGTTGAATCTTTATGTTTTTATATTTTTTATTTTTTAGCATTGGAATGTCATGTGTATTGTATTTCTACTGAATGCCATAAGCTTGATTGTTCTTGTATACCTTGGATTGTTCATACTTTTGTACGATTTCAATAAATGCAACTGTTAAAAAAAAATTATTGCAGAATCAATGGGCCTATGTTTGCCCTGCATATTACATTCTCTTTTTACATTTAATAAAATAGCAATAAAAAAGAAAAGTTTCCTTCAGAAACTATGGTTTGCGTTATAACATTGTAAAGGGGAAGACCATCATTTTCCTTAGGAAATGCACTTCTCTACATGCAACCAATATATTAAATCTTGCAAGAACCCTGAAAAACATCTTATATTCATAATAGACCATCTGGCACAACTAAGCAGAATACTGTACATTACTAATGCCCTTGGAAAGGTACGGGTATACTCCAAATAATTTTTAGTATTGCATGAAGACATTGTGCAACCATAGTCTCCCGTTGTCACTATTAGGAAATCAGTCTTGAGCAATGATATGCAGCCAATTGTGGAGCAAGAGCATGTGCACAAGAAGTGACTGAAAGGTCTGGGGTACATCTGAAGTGATGAGGTGTCCAAAAAGACTTGCTATACAAAGAAAAAAAATCACCCATTGATACTTTTTATCCCACAGTAAAAACAGTAATGTAAGGACGCTAACATAAAATACTGCATTCAAGGTAAGTCTGAGTAAAAATACAATATGAGGAAAGATACTAAAAGCATCATGTGTACAATTAGCAATTTATCATCAACTTTTAAGAACCCTCAGAGTGCTAGTGATACAGTATCAGATCCATGTTGAAAATTCTAATCTTCATGCAGGGCCGAGGATAAGGGGGTACCACCAGTCCTCCTGTACGGGGCCCAAGCTAGCAGGGGGGCCCAGGCAGCTGGGTGAATCTGATGTGGGCAGGGAGGGTGATTGGCATGGTGGGTGGGTGGAGGGGGGATTACTGGAACCGATCCCTTGTATGGCCCCCTCTGCAGCAGCTGAAAGCCGGCTTCTTCTCCTCTCCCTCCCAATGGCTTTCAGCTGCTGCAGAAAGAGCCATACAGGGGATCTGTTCCAGTAATTGATCCCCCCCAAATCCATCACCCTCACTGTGCACCATACATTTCTCCCTGCTACCCAGGTCCCCTTGCGAGCCCCCACCCCCACAGTGCTGCCAGCTTCCCTCCTCTCCTACCCACACAATAGGATCCTTCAGGATGGAGAGTTGGGGGGAACAGTAAAGTAAATATGTCACATTTACCAGCCCCTTTCCTGAATGAACACAATGAGTGTTCGGTACCAATCACTCACTGTATTCATTCATAACTGAAGCATAGTGAACTGTGTATTTTTATTTTTTTTGGGGGGGGGGGGGTGTTGGGTTGGCTGTATGGGGCCCCGTTGTTTCTAACAGCAGCCCTGACAATGTGTATTGGCACAGTTGCCTGTAGTCTCCCCGAAGTGAATGTGGGATGAGTGACAATGAAGGAGCACAATTGGAAGACAGTTGTCACTCTATACATGGGGTTCATTCATGGCACAATTACTGAGTATGTTTTTAATGCCCTTTTAAAAAGCCTGATAAAAATTACACTAACGTGTTAAAGTTTTATATAATATCATGTTAAAATGTGCACTAAAAACTATATACTGTTTATTTCACCCATACTCTTATTTGCAGTTGTATTTCTACTACAATATGACTGGTCCTCTTTAAGTCTGGCAGATATCTACCAAGCATTAATTTGTTAAATCTGTAGAATAGCATGTAATGAACAGCCAATGACTAATGCAAATAACTTGAGCTCCTTTCTTACCCAGAAATACTATACTGGACTTTATCCAAAGGTGAAACATTTCCTGGTAGATTGTCTTCAAGCACTAGCACTTTGATCTTCTGTAGAATGCCAATGTCACCAAAAATGACTGTCCTGCACTGATATACACCAGCATCATCTTTTTGCAGGTTAGTTATATTTATTGTAACCATGCCTTCATATGCATTATCAGAGATTGTGGTACTCCCGAATGTTTTGCTCCCAGACAGAGAATAGCGATGAGCACTGACAACAGCCTCGCAAGCACCAACTTCATCCTCTTTGCACCATAGCTTTCTTGCCCATCGATCTGCACGGTATCGGTATGGACAAACAATGGTCAGTGTTTCTCCTAGTTGTGCTGAATATACAGTGATATTGTTTGCCAGACACGGGACTGAAAAACCTGATAAATAAGCAGAACGACAAATCCACTGTGAAATGACTGAAAGTAAAATACTATGTATACTGTGTATTTACAGTAAATAAGCGAATACAAAATTAAAAATTAAATAATAAAATAAAAATAATTTTAAAAGCCCCCCCCCCCACTGCGAACGCACACGTAGGTCCTGCACTTATATGTAATCAGCAATCACACCACCCACCCGAGGTATCGCCACAAATGTGTGAGAGAGAGCAACAATTCTAGTAGCAAAACCTCCTGCTTAACTCTAAACTGGTAAACTGTAAAGGCTTTTAACCACTTGCCTCCAGAGGATTTACCCCCCTTCCTGACCAGGCCCTTTTTTTTGTTACGGAGCTACATTACTTTAAATGACAATTGCGCTGTCATGCAACGCTGCACCCAAATGAAAATTACATCATTTTTTTCCCCATGAATTGAGCTTTCTTTCGGTGGTATTTGATCGCATGCGTGTTTTTAATTTTTTGTGCTTTCAAAAAAAAAGGCCGACAATTTTGAGTAAATTACAATATTTTTGACTGCTATTAACAAACTTTTATTAACTTTTTGCTGGTAACAAAATTTAGGCCAAATTTAGGTCAAAATGTATTCTGCTACGCATCTTTACTAAAAAAAAATCCAATGCGTGTAAATTAATTTACGTGAAAGTTATAGTGTTTGCAAATGGTGGTACACTGGATTTTTTTTTTTTTTTTTTTTACTAGTAATGGCAGCGATCAGCAAATTATAGTGGGACTTCGGCTGGCATTCTGACACTAGGGGGGAACTGACTTGGTGCCATTGACATCCCCAGTGACACCAATACAGTGATCAGTGCTAATAAAAAGCACTGACACTGTACTAATGGCACTGGGAAGGAAGGGGTTAATATGTGGGGTGATCAAAGGGTTAACTATATGCTGTGTGCTGTTTTGTATACTGGACTGTGTTTGTGCTTCACTGTAAGCACACTGCTTAATATGGCTGTGCTATGCACAGCCATGCAAAGCAGTGTACACGAGCTCACAGGGAGGAGAACTGTTTCAATCACTGGGCGCTGGCAAGTAATCACCGGCTGGGATCCAGGGACTGACAGCGTGGTTGCAAATGGCGGCGCGGGTAGGGCGCATGCGTGCCACGCGTGTGCCCCTTACCCAGAAATGCAAAATGTATATACATAATTTTGTGCACCTGTGCCGCCCTGTAGCAGTACTTCTGCTATAGGGCGGATGAGAAGCACAAGTTTAAAACATGACATATCTGATATCTATTTACTTGACACAACATCTTTTATGTGCAAATATTAAGTGATATAAAAAACTTGCAACAACAACCATTTTATTCTCCAGGGCCTCAGCTTTAAAAGCATATAGAATGTTCGGAGGTTCTAAGTAATTTTTTTGGCCAAAAATGCTGATTTTCACTTGTACTGTATGTGAGAAATGGCAGAACTGGCCTGGGCAGCAGATGGTTCATTTATTAATAATTTATTATTTAAACAGCTTATCTTTAAACATGTAACAAACTGGAACACAATTTCTTATGCAGTATTGTAAATCTGAGTGTGGTCTTACATGAGATAAAATAGTTGAATGTCCCAAGCACACACTGTATATTAGTATAGTACTAATATGTTAGTCTCTCTGTGTCTACAGGTTAAACAATCCAATAGGTGGACCTCAGGAGATTGGCATGTTTTGGGCATGTAGAGATGAATTGCGATCACCAGATCTACCCCTTGAGGAGATCAGATAGTAGACATGCATGCCATTACTGTATAATGCCTTAAAGCGATTCTAAAGGTTATTTTTGTTTTGTAAAATAGGTGAAGGTAAAAAACCTTGAGCCTTTACAACCACTTTAAATGAGAATTAGTATGTTGTTTCTGGTGAGCTTTTAATGGTACTGCTTTTATTTTTCTTCCAAAGCATATTATGAATCAGAATATGAGTGATTAAATTACACCTTTTGCCATAGGGGAACTATATACCCAAGCTAGTTCTTGCTGAATCCTTACACAAATTTAGACACTGCATGGTGTTGGTTTACTAAACACAAATAGGCTTTTCAGTTTGCAAGGCTTAGCGAATGGGGTGAAAATAAATTTTAAAATGAATACCCAATCACATGCAAGGAAAATAAAAAAAATTAAAACATTCTTGTATATGATTGGATGATAGAGAGCTTAAACTTTTTGACTAAGCTAAGGGGAACTCCCTTGTAAAGTGAACAACCTGTTTGCCTTTAGTAAATCAACACCATGTATGTATATGTCTGCTTCTTGGCTGTGAGCAACGACAGTTCAAAAACTTGGAGAGATATATGGGAACAAGACAGATAATTTATACATGGTTTACAATGTTAGTTATTTTTCTTTCCTACTTTTCAGCATTGTATGTTTAAAAAAGTTAGAGTTCTAAGGCCATAAATAACAGGCTGAATATGCTTAACTAGTCAAATACCAGACTGGGCTAGAGATATTGAACATCAAATATAAACATATAGCATCTTACCCAAGAGAGTGACGATACAGGTAAGCAAGGAGCAAAAGTCCATTTCTGATGTATGTGGCACAGCAAATTAACCACAAGACTCCCTCTTTCTGCCAGCACACCACAAATGAAGTAAAAAAGAAGAACCAGACAGTTTGTTCAATGTTGATTGTGCAATGTGCTGAACTAAAGTTCTTTAGGGCTAAATGTAGGATTGATTACTGAAGGAGAATTTTTGTGTGTGAAGAAATTACGTAACCATGTCATGGTGTGAAAGTAGACCAAATGGGTACGTAATGGTTGTGGATGGTGATACAAAAAATGGCAGCCACCCCAACCTATAACTGCTATAATGTAATAACTTATGTGCTTGCAAGCTGTAATTGCCGTACTTACTCTGCAGTCTGAAATTCCTTTTCTCAGCATCTCTGAGAAGGCAAGTTCTGTGAAATGTGTGACACAGCAGTGCCTACTCACACACTGTAGTGAATACGTGTCACAGGATTAAAAGAATTAGGCCGGCCATGCACAGAGAAAATTTCTTACCTGCAATCACAGATTACAGGAAAGAAATTCACTCTTTTCCCCCATTAACAGAGTCAGTGAAATGGGGGAATCCCTCCCTCTAAGCTATTGCTATAGCAGCTGCTAGCAATGATTGAATATAAAATCCGGCAGGCTGGTTGTACTCAAGTTGATCAATCAATCAACTTGGTACATTCAGCATGCCCATACATGGTTCAAATCACGGCCAGTTCCTGCGTCTATGGCCAACCTTAGATGTGTGGGGATCTTCACAAAATAAGCATATCATTCATAATAATAGGTTAGAAATAATTAAGGAAACATTTGATTTTTACTTTTTGCTTTAACACTGAACATTCTTAATGAACCCTTTGCATACTGCTATACAACTTCACATACTGTATTTCTAGCAAACTTTTGCATTAAAACAGGGATTTTTGGTTCACATACACTATATTGCCAAAAGTATTGGGACACCCCTCCAAATCATTAGATTCAGGTGTTCCAAATCACCTCCATGGCCACAGGTGTATAAAATCAAGCACCTAGGCATGCAGACTGCTTCTACAAACATTTTTGAAAAAATGGATCGCTCTCAGGAGCTCTGTGGATTCAAGCGTGGTACCGTGATAGGTTGCCACCTGTGCAATAAGTGCATCCGTGAAATTTCCTTGCTACTAAATATTCCATGGTCAACTGTTAGTGGTATTATTACAAAGTGGAAGCAACTGGGAACAACAGCAACTCAGCCATGAAGTGGTAGGCCACGTGAAATGACAGAGCAGGGTCAGCGCATGCCGAAGCACACAGTGCACAGGAGTCACCAACTCTCTGCAGAGTCAATAGCTAAAGACCTCCAGACTTCATGTGGCCCTCAGATTAGCACAACAACAGTGCGTAGAGAACTTCATGGAATGGGTTTCCATGGCCGAGCAGCTGCATCTAAGCCTTACATCACCAAGTAAAATGCAAAGTGTCTGATTCAGTGGGCACGCTGCCACTGGCAGTGGAGACATGTACTCTGGAGTGACAAATCATGCTTCTTTGCCTGGCAATCTGATGGATGTGTCTGGATTTGCCGGTTGCCAGGAGAACGGAACTTGCCTGACTGCATTGTGACAAGTGTAGAGTTTGGTGGAGGGGGGATAATGGTGTGGGGTTGTTTTTCAGGGGTTGGGCTTGGCCCCCTAGTTCTAGTGAAGGGAACTCTTAACACATCAGGATACCAAGAAATTGTGAACCCAACTTTGTGGGAACAGTTTGGGGATGGCCCCTTCCTGTTCCAACATGACTGCACCAGTTCACAATGAAAGGCCTATAAAGACATGGATGAGCGAGTTTGGGGTGGAGGAACTTGACTGACCTGCACAGAGTCCTGACCTCAAACTGATAGAACACCTTTGGGATGAATTAGAGCGGAGACTGCGAGCCAGGAAAACAGGAAAAAAAATATTCTGAACCAATGGACTTCAGACATAGTACAGGAGATGACCAGAGACTGTGGACACAGTACAGGAGATGACCAGACGCTGTGGACATGGTACTGGAGCTGACCAGAGACTGCGGACACAGTACAGAGAGATGACCAGAGACTGCAGATACAGTACAGGAGATGACCAGAGACTGCGGACACAGTACAGGAGATGATCAGAGACTGCGGACACAGTACAGAAGATGACCAGAGACTGCGGACATATTACAGGAGATGACCAGAGACTGCGGACATATTACGGGAGATGACCAGAGACTGCAGACCTTTGGGGAGCGGGGTAGGGGCGGGTACCCGAATTTGACAGGTACCTGCTCCCACTTCCACGGAGTTGTCCTTCCCCCTCCCTCCCCGTAATCTTTTGGGACACATGACAGGTCCCAGAAGATTACAGGGTCATTCACAAAGCGCAGTGCTTCTTGCGCATGCACAGTGGGCACCCGGCTGTTAAGCTGCAAGCTGTCACAGCCGGGTGTCCATGCTGGCGTCAGGGAGAGAAGACTGAGGGCACCGCTGGACCGAGGAATAGGTAGGACTGCGTGAGGTCTGCAGAGAAGAGCTGAGTGGCCGGCCCAATATTCTAACACAAGGGAAATACCGGGCTGCTCCCTATTCGCTCCATAAGATGGACAGACATTTCCCCCCATTTTTTTTGGGGAAAAAAAGTGCATCTTATGGAGCAAAAAATATGGTAAGTGCCTGACCTCACAAATGCGCTTCTGGAAGAATGGTCAAACATTCCCATAGACACACTCCTAAACCTTGTGGACAGCCTTCCCAGAAGAGTTGAAGCTGTTATAGCTGCAAAGGGTGGGCCAACTCAATATTGAACCCTATGGACTAAGACTGGGATGCCATTAAAGTTCATGTGCGTGTAAAGGCAGGCGTCCCAATACTTTTGGCAATATAGTGTATATTGCAATATATGTTAAAGCTTGTTAAGTGCATCAAGTAATGCCTGTTTGGCCAGTGCCTACATAACTACTACTGCAAAATATTGCTTATAGCATACTTTAGTGGACATGCAGATATTCAGTATTTGCCCCCTTCTTGATTTTTTTCTTTTGCTGCATATTTGTCACACTTAAATGATTCAGGTCATCAAACAAATTTTAATATTACACAAAGATAACCTGAGTAAACAGAAAAATGCAGTTTTTAAAAGATGATTTAGTTTATTAAGGGAAAAATCTTGTCATCATTTTTTACTCCTCTTATTTCATAGCGTTGTTTTTTTTTTTTATCACTAAGAATTATAGGTTCCCTAGACGTACAGGGGTATATATCAGGTTCTATGCATCTTTTTTTTTTTGCACTTATGTAATTTTACTTTAAATTCTTGCAATGTGTTCACTATCTTTGTACAACATATTTTATATCATATTTATACTCTAGTTGTTCATGTAAATTTATGTCTTCATGCCTTTTTATTTTTTATGTATTGTGCTGTCAGGGTGTTCATTCATGGCTTAGGTATGGCCAGTTTGGGAGCAGCCCCTCCTCCCTGACTAGTTTCCTCATCTTGTTATGACATATGGGTGTTTTTGGAGGATTTGGTTTGCCTGGTTATTATTAATACTTTACAGAATTTATAAAGCGCCAACAGTTTACACAGTGCTCTACAACATGGTTCCTATGGAAACGCCGGTTGGGACGTTCTTAACCGTCTTGGCAAAATGGAGGCACAGGGTTGTTCCAGCCTCTTTTGCTGATGCACTTCTGGTCCCGAGAGACACTATCCTGTCCCTTTATGCTGACGCGCTTCCGGTGTCCCATCTGGTCTTGCGGACTGGCAATGGCATTTTTATGGCTTATGTGTTCCAGGACACAGAGAGCGCACATGGACGAATGCTAGGGCCATTTGGCCCTTTGTTATACCTGGTTCTTTCCAGCCCCTAAAAAAAACATTGGGAGAAAGTACTGAAGTGAGTGGTTTCTGCATATACTGTATTCTATATAGAGCCATCAGGTGAATGGGATAAGTGTTTCCCTTTCTTTCAGTAGAGATAGAATGTTGTATTTTTAGTGTCACAATAAACATCTTTGTTTCACAGCATTAATACTAATGATGATTGATAATGATTCTTGAATGGGTGAGTCATTTATGTGGCAGCATGATGCAGCTCACACACTGCCACCCTGTTATTATTAGCCACCCTGTTATTATTATTGTTTTAGTTTGTTTTTTTTGTGTTTTTTTTAGGGTGTCAGCATGAGGCATATCACTGGTGGACCCTGCCCACTCACTTTCAGCTGGGAAGGGGTGGGGTGACTACTTCTGATCTGTGGCCATATATAAGCTGATAGCACATTAGGTTGGTATAGCTCTGAAAAAAGGCGTGCAGCTCTCGAAATGCCCCAGCTTCTTCAACCAGAAGGTTCTAGGACGGGACCCCATCGCCCTAGACCAGGGGTGGGCAAACTTTTTGACTTGAGGGCCGCAATGGGTTCATATATTGGACCCGGGGGCTGGACCAAGAGTAGATGAATGATGTGTATGTGTCATCCATAGTAAGTATAGTAATATTCCCCCATAGTAAGCATAGTAATTAATCCCCCATAGTAATTAATCCCCCATATAGTAATTCATCCCCCATATAGTAATTCATCCCCCATATAGTAATTCATCCCCCATAGTAATTCGTCCCCCATATAGTAATTCGTCCCCCATATAGTAATTCGTCCCCCATATAGTAATTCGTCCCCCATAGTAATTCATCCCCCCTATAGTAATTCATCCCCCATAGTAATTCATCCCCCATATAGTAATTCATCCCCCATAGTAATTCATCCCCCACATAGTAATTCATCCCCCACATAGTAATTCATCCCCCATATTAATTCATCCCCCATATTAATTCATCCCCCATATAGTAATTCATCCCCCATATAGTAAGTCCTCCATATAGTAATTCATTCCCCATATAGTAAGTCCTCCATATAGTAATTCATTCCCCATATAGTAAGTCCCCCATATAGTAATTCATTCCCCATATAGTAAGTCCCCCATATAGTAATTCATTCCCCATATAGTAAGTCCTCCATATAGT